CCGATGCTAAAAATCTATTACAGAATGAATTTGAATATTTTAGAAATCGGGATTGTATTAACTTGTTATTTATTTAAAATGTCAATTTAATATGAACATTTTAATTACTATTTATTTAATTACTTTTCATATTTCAAAATTCAATTTACGGGTGAACATCAACTTTTTAACTTAATTATTAAAACTAAACGAAATTTTGTTTTTATTCCAAAGTTGGCTGAAGTGCACTGCAAAAGTTCCGAACTGAATATAAACGAGTCCAGTCCTCTGCCGGACATGCTTAAGTAATTAAATGAAGTGAATGTTTTTATGCACAAAAAGTTTTGTTTGGAACCAACAATTAAACGCTATAAGCCATTTTAGTTTTTGCGAGGCACCAAAGGACTCACAAATAAGTCAGACTTAACTTTCATTCATTCGTCTGTTATAAATATTTAGAACACGTATTCATTCGTTTGTGCTAAAAAATAAAAATTTATTATTAATTTTTAATTTAAAAATAATAAAAAATCTTTGTTTTAAAAACGCAAAAACATCCATAGAATTAAGGTTTTTATGAAAATTCTTAAGTATTTTGTAATGGTTTGAACTTATCATTCTGTTTGTTATAAAATAAATTTTATTTAATACAAATAAACTTTACTGCTAGCAATAATTTATATATGTCATTTGAAATAATTTAGCATAATTAACCAAGTCCTTTTAGTAATTCAACTCTCCAGCTACAGCTATACTAGTAGAGAGACAGAAACTCAGATAAGTGCTCTTACGTTATTGAATTAATAAATCTAACAGAGGTTAATTATTTATTAGATGACAATATTTCTAATAGATACTTTCCTCCATTTTTTTTTTTTGCTTAAAATTGCAGTTGATATCACTTAAAACTATTGAAAATAACATTCCCTCTAATTCATTTATATAAAAATTTATTAACTACACCTACACTAATATATAAACTGAAACGTAGACAGCTGCTGTTAAGTATTTACATTATTAAATCTAATAGATGGTAACATAATCAAGTGACTATATTTCTAATAGATCCTTACTCGCCACCTTTTTTAGCTTACTGCTGTATAAGATGTCATTTGAAACTATTGAGAATAGCAATTATATATACCGAGTCCTTAATATAATCTAATTTACATACTTAACTATACTGATATAACGATAGAATCTTCTCTTACGTTATTGATTTATTGAATCATTGGTTTTTACCCCCCTTTTATGTAGATCAGCAATTCGCACATAGCACGCAGCGTTATCTGCATCCCTAATTGCTTTGTTATGGAACCATTGTATCGTTTCTATTCTGTGATTTTTTGTACAACCCAAAATTTGGACGCCATAGAGCTATACTGGCTTGAAGACGTGTTTGTATATCATAAGTTTGTTTTGCTGAGATACTTTAGTTCTTCTTCCCATAAGCAAAGTTAGTTTTTTGGATCTAATATTAAGTTCAGTTTTTTCTTAACGTGTGCCTTTCATTTTAGTATGATATCTAGGTTCAAGCAACTGAAATTTTTACGTTATTTAAAAATAATGAATTTCAGTTTGTCTTTTGTTAGTAAAGTCTACTTGGTTAGATTTTGAACTATTTACTGTCGGTTTCCATTTATTAGTTATTATTTATTAGTAGACACCGTGCTGTTTGGATCTGTAGCTGTTATTACCGTGTCATCTGGAAAAGTTCCGATAATACAACTTGAAATTATATATTAAAAGTTATACATTGATAAATAAAAAGCAAGTTAAATATTTTTCAGAGTACTTTAAATAATCCCACCCTTTAAATAGTTTTCTTGATGAGAAATCTTCACACTTTTTATAAGAACGATTATTTTAATTAAATTGATTAAATTGAAATAATAATTATGAAATGCTCAATATCATTGCTTCTACCAACAAAACCAACCAAAATGTTGCAACTAATTTGCATAGATATTAAAAATTCTTGGTGGATAGTAATGTAGGAGGCATCAGTCGGATTTTGCTTCCTGCATATAAATTACTTAATATTTTTTTTAAACATAATTTTGTAGATTCTTTATTTTGTTATTACTTTATTTGGCTATGGGCTCCCTGAACTCCGGTGTTATGTGAATAAATTTTAACGCTGATGCGAAAAATAAAGTTTTTACCTTTATGTCCAGCAGAGTTAATTGCTGTGAACAGCTGTGATACTGAAGTATTTGAACGAATTTAAGCAACTCGAAGTTGTTTAAAATGACAGAGATAAATTTCCTAAAATTTCCTAATTAAACCTAAAAAACATTTCTTAATCTTAAGTTGTTAAAATTACAGCCCTGGATGAGTTATCATTTACGCTGAGCCCCTATAAGTCAGATCATCTGCCCAAGGTCATGATTTACGAAGAGAGTAAACTCCACGACTTTTTGGTTAAAGGCGGTGAGTTTCTTAACTTAATTATGTTCTATTTAACATAGTACATCGTTCCATACAATCCGTTTGAAAACAGTTACCTTTTTATTCCTATTGGTTGTTGTGCTAGCCTATATATCACATTACAAGATTGGCATAATAAACGATTTGTAGAGCATGCTTTTTGTTTTTCGTTACACGGTTTTATTTCCTAATTGCGTGCTTATCCCGAAGTAAGATCTACTAGTAAATAAACCCTTTTTTCACAACTTCGAACTTATAGTTTTCAACACCGACGTGGATCCCAAAATGCTATGAAAATTTTGTTGCTGACAGTACTTTGTATTGTCCTTATTTATCACAAGCCCATTTACTTCGTTTGTTTTTGTAAGTTGTGAAAAGACACTAGGTGATGTGCTTAGGCTAACAATGTCAATATCATCGGTACACTTGAGTAGCTTCACATTTCTGCAATATAGTGTCAACACGGTTCAAAACTGCTGTTTGGATTATTATCATTAAGTTAAAAAAATTGCACGACAAGGGGTCACCACGGGTGTCATGTCATTTCGTATCGAACTGCTCATTGTGGTTCTTCACAGTTATTATGAAACTGGCAATGGTCCTGAAGGTCATTCTATAAAGCCGTGTGAGAGAGAGTGCTTTTAGTCGTAGTGACAAAAACAACTTTAAAATCGGCATATAAATAGTGTGCATTAATATTTTGTTTTTTTGGTATTCTGCAGGATTTGACACACAGTAAATATCTAATCTATAATAGATTTGCATGAAGTAAAGCATCAGCTATAAAGTCCAATCAATTGGTTAACGATTGGCTTCAGTCTTTGACATAGATTGTTTGACAGAACCTCATATGCGATGTTCAAAGGTATGATCCCTTAATAATTTCTGCAGTTCGCAGGATCACTGTCTGTTTAAGAAGCACCTGTCATTTTGTTGCGTTTTTTTAACCAACTTATTTCTCTATTTTTCTTTTTTTGTAGCTCATATCTATAAAAGCTGTCAGTCATTGTAATAATTTCTCAAAAAGTGTTTAAAGTTTGACTAGATTTCAAACGCAGTTCCGATTGAGAAGGAAGCAAGCATCATAACAAAATGGATGACAGAAATGATAAATATTCTTCCCAGATATGTGTTACGTGTAGAAACTTTGTCGCAATTGCTTGCAAAAGTTGCGAACGCTTATATTGCTCGCTGGATTGCCAAACACTGGATTCTGTTGATCATGAAAACAAATGCGGTAATATGACGTAAGTATATTGGCATTTAAACATAAATATTTAATAATTCTTTAAATTTGTAGTAGTTCAAGGAACGCAGAGAAAGTCAACAATGCAATTGCGGTAGACCATCTACATGTGTCTAATGTGCTACCAACTAACACTGAAGAAAAGCATGAAAGTTCCGAAGCCAGTGCTTCAAACTTAATAAAAAAGCAGATTGAAGTTGATTCGCAACAAAGTTTGAATGGTCAAAAGAATAATGAACCCAAAACTTCATCTCAATATCGTGGTGGTATGACTTCACGAACTGATAGCAGTACGCGCTCTCAGGCTCAACATAACAAGCAATATTTTAAAATGCGCATGAAGGAAAAATTCAATAAAGGTAATAATGATCAAAAACGATCAAATCATGGTAATACCGGTGATTCACATAAACGAAGTTCTAATACTAAAAATACTGCTCGTGTGAATCAAGAGCAATCTAACCATACAAAACTTGACTCTGTTAATCAACAAAATAAGCAAGAAAATAAAAAATATGAAGAAAGACACCGTCCGCAACCAAGTGGTGCTGATGATACACCACATTATGACAAACAGCGTGTGCAGTGTGACAAAAAACACGATCGGATTAATCAGCAATCCGGAATGAATCGTCAAAATGGTGGACGTATTGAACAGCAATATCGTAATAATAAAAACCAAATTAGACGTAATGCTCAACAAAGTAAACGTGATGATTTAGAAAGTAATCAACAACGTAGCATGTACGATCAACGGCGTGGTCGCAGTAATAGTGACCAACAACTACGTGATTGTCAACAAAATGATCGAGATGGACAACCTAATGGTATAGTTAGTCAATCACAGCTTCATAATCAAAAACGTCGTACGCACCATCATGATCGCAAATGTCGTAATAATGCGGGCCAACAACGTGAGCGAGCTAATCAACAAAATGCTTATACCGATCAACAACGTAGACGCGATAATGCACCCCGAGCTCGCATGGGTGGCGTTAACAACCAAAGCAGCCGCAGTTGTATGCATCGTGATCTTGTTGATAATGCGGACCAACAACGTTTGCATTCTGACCAAGAAGAATATGCGTGTGCTGACAAACATTTAATGGCTATTCAGCATCCTGTCACAGTTAATCCACTAAGCGAGACTAATGATCCAAAGCAGCAGTCCGATGTTCAAAGTCGTGAGCGTGATGGTCAACATTATATGCGTAGTGATCAACGACAAGAGCGTAATAATCAAGATCACAAGTGTAATAATAAGCATCATAAACGTATCGGTGAACGTTATGAACCAAGAGGTGAATATCGCGAACGTGTTGGTAAAAATCGCGAAAGTATTGATAAGTATAAGGATCGTGCTGGCAAACGTCGGGAACGTGTTGGTAAACATAACGAACATGCTAGTAAACATCATGAGCACGCTGGTAAACTTCACGATCATGTAGTTAAACACCAGGAACGTGCCAGTAAACATCACAACCGTGCTGGTAAACGCCACGAGCATTCTGGTAAAAATGACGAACATGCTGATAAGCATCATGAACGTTACGGTGAACGTCATAGGCTTATTGTTGAACCTCACAAGAGTGTTGGTGAACATCACGAGAGTGCTGCTGAACATCAGGAGTGCGCTGCTGAACATCACGTCAGTGATGGTGAATATCACGTCAGTTATAATGGTGAACAACATGTTAGTGACGATGGTAAATATCAATTGAGTGATGGTGGTGAACATAACTTGAGTGATGGTGGTGAACATCACTTGACTGATGGTGGTGAACATCACTTAAGTGATGGTGATGAACATGGCTTGAGTGATGGTGGTGAACATCACTTGACTGATGGCGGTGAACATCACTTGAGTGATGGTGATGAACATGGCTTGAGTGATGGTAGTGAACATCACTTGACTGATGGCGGTGAACATCATTTGAGTGATGGTGGTGAACATGGCTTGAGTGATGGTGGTGAAAATCACTTGAGTGATAGTGGTGAACATCACTTGAGTGATGGTGGTGAAAATCACTTGAGTGATAGTGGTGAACATCACTTGAGTGATGGTGGTGAACATCACTTGAGTGATGGCGGTGAACATCACTTGAGTGATGGCGGTGAACATCACTTGAGTGATGGTGGTGAACATCACTTGAGTGATGGTGGTGAACATCACTTGAGTGATGGTGGTGAAAATCACTTGAGTGATAGTGGTGAACATCACTTGAGTGATGGCGGTGAACATCACTTGAGTGATGACGGTGAACATCACTTGAGTGATGGCGGTGAACATCACTTGAGTGATGGTGGTGAACATCACTTGAGTGATGGTGATGAACATCACTTGAGTGATGGTGGTGAACATCACTTGAGTCATGGTGGTGAACATCGCTTGAGTGATGGTGGTGAACATCACTTGAGTGATGGTGGTGAGCATTTCTTGAGTGATCGGCCCGAGCGAGATATTGAACATTACGACCGTGATGGCGAACAACACGAACGTGATATTAATTTCCAAGAACGTGGCGGTGAACATCACAAGCCTGACGGTAAATATCAGGAGAGTGACCGTAAACATCACAAAGGTTCTGGTCATCAACAGAAGCGTGCTGGTAAAAACTATGAACGCGCTTATAAAAAACAAGTGACTAATAAACAACAGCGTGTACTTGTTAAGCAAGATATACAACAACAGTCCAATTCACTTGATGATAAATTACACGAACGTAATCATATACAAGGCGAAGGTAATAATCAAACGTATGGGATGCATAATCGACCCAATAAGAAGGTTTATCATCATCGTCGAGAAGTTGGTGGTGTTGCTCAACAACGTGAGCGTACTGGACAGTGTGTGCCCAGTGACCAACAACATGTCTCAGTGAATAAGAAGCTCAACTCACTTGTAAAGCATGGCAATCAACAACGTGAATGTAATAATAATCAACACGATGCTGCGCATGCTCCTAACCAACGTGTACGTAGTGGCCAACGCCGTGGCGCTTCTCAACACTCTGAACATACTGATCAGCCTGTGCTTGAAAATCTAAACCATATCCCTACTGATTTACACGGCGAAAGTAATGAATTGCAAGCTCAGCCAGATAATCAAAAGAACGATGAACAGCTTAAAGGTCTTGAATACGAAACCGCTCAACGGGGTAGACTTAATGATACTCAAAGCAAAACCGATGAGGATCAAAGGTGCGGTTCTGATGATCAATTGACTGAATTGCATCAATTCAATGTTCCGGTTCTTAATCCAGTAAGTGTACACGTAATATAGAATATCTATTACTATATCTCTAATGAAATTATAAAAATTATTTCCAATGATTTATTGTTTTAATGACCAAAGTTTTTTAATAATAAGTTTGTTTTTAAAACTGGCTAATTGGTCAACAGTTAAATAACGCCGTTTTTAAAAATAATTTGGTTATTAAATAATATTTTATATAAACCAATAATTTGGCTATATTCCACACTCACCTTAAGGGTGTTGCAATAATTTAATATAATTATTTTTAAAAAATTATTTTGTTTACAATCTGTTGATATTTAGAGATTTAGTAAAATTAAATGAAAAAACTTTCGATAAAATATTATTAATTTATGGATTTATTTTAAAGCCTTTCAAAAGAATAAAATTTGATGAGAACAGTAAAAATATTCTGGCTCTTGTAATTGATACAAGTCGTATTGAAGATGGGTTCTTTGCTTGTATTCCGGATAGCAGTTATCGTAATTTCATGAATATGCAGGATTGTTTACGTCAAGTTGGAAGAACCAGAAACCCATATAAACCTTCGTAAGAAATAGTCTTACACAATTGATGCGTCAATTTAAGTTTTTATAAAATTTCAGATTGCATGAATTTTGCATAGCTTTCCAAGAAGGTTTCTGGTATCGAGCTAAGGTTCTAGATATTAATGAAACTCAGTTCAATGTCGAGTTTATTGATTTTGTCTACGAAGGTCATGTTAGTAGTGAGAATATTCAAAAGTATCCCACTGGATTAAATGAAGTGAACTCAACTAATCTATGTAAGCTTGAAGGTAATTATTAAACTCGAAATAGATTAAATTTATTTTAACTAATAATTTATTTAACTTAATAGGTTTGCCTGAAAAACTTAAGCCGGAGCTGATAAATCATTTAAAAGAAATGGAATTCAAAAAAGTATTGATTTCGGAAGTTCGAGTTGAGGGCGAAACATTAGTTGTCAAATGTCCAAAGTTAATGCAGGAACTTTCGGATTTGAAGTACATATAAATATTTTTTTGTTTCCAAAATTCATACGAGCTTTTTATATGAATATGATTTATAAATACAAACGTTTAAACAGTAAAGGAATTTCTTCCATTAATGCAATATTGTACAGCAGATTAAAGTTGTCTTCAAGTTAAAATAAATAAATAAAACAATATTGTATAATATAGAATTGTAGTATTTGTTATCGTAAATGGACGTACACTTGAACGAATTAGAAACAGAATCCCAAATGCTTATAGATGAGTTCTATAGTTCTGTATACAATGATCTAATGTATTTCATCAGGATATCACATGAGGAATTATCACATTCAACTCAGCCACATCGTTTTTGTAAGCAAGCATTGAATAGTCATAAGGAATGTGCAGGACAGCCTGCTCCAATGCTGTTTGGTTTTTTACTATGGTATTTATATACACAACCTTATTATCAACTTATGGGCTTGGGAATATGGTGAGTAAAATGATTTGGAACTTCCAGAGGTCGACTAGCTAGTGTATCACTTTTCGTTTATATGCAATCCAGACTCATGTGGCGTTTGAGAGGTTACAATAACTGTTGCACTTCTATAGTTGATAAGGATGCTCTTAAATCAATATCTTCATCATCGTAATCTTAATAAATCATTGTTTGTTGTGGTTAAAGAAAATTGTGTAGCTAGTATAAGTGTTTTCATGTTTTAAAGTGGATGACATATTCTATCATCACGTGATTTCAGTATTTTGAGAAGAATGTTCTTGACTTGAATACATATTATAAATCAAGCGGTGTAACTGCAGGGATGACACTCTTTCCAAGAACTGCTAAATACTCGTATTATTGAGCTCTAAGTAAAAACTGAAATTGAAGGCCATAATAAAACAAGAGGAAAGATATGATAAAAATTAAGTAAAGTACAAGTAAACGAAGGTTGGGAAGTTTAAGCAGGGAACAATAAGGTTTGACGATCCAAAAAAGATTATGATTTAAAAAATACATAAGGGACAGAGTCCTAAAGCTATATGCGAAAACCGACCGGCTACCCTATTTAGCACTATCTAATCTCAGAGTAATCACTAACCGCACGGGGCGGTAGGCAGATCTTAGATCAGTCATTGAATAATCGCGAGGAATACACAAATTAATCAGTGAGATGAGTGGAACTCTGCAGAAACCCTCCAACTAACAAAAAGTAAAAGTGTCCAGATGCAGTAACTCGGAAAAGGTTCATTACTAGTATTACTAGTATTGAAGTGATTTAGGAAAAACTGATGCCACTGGTTTCTGAAGTTCTTCAAAGAGTTTTTTAAGTGTTACATGAAGAAACGGATTTTCTTTGACTTTAACACATTATTTGTTGACGTGACCATGACTGTCTGCATAACATTGTTTTAGGAGATTGTAGTAATGGTTTAGTTAAGTTTAGTACGCATGTATACTTTACATCAATTGAATTCTTTAGCTGTTTAGTGGTAGTTGCAAATTAGTTGCTATTCTCTTCTTTTTTAAATGAATCACTGAAAAATCTAAACAAATTTTCTATAATTTGTAGACCTAGTAAAATAAAAACAGATTATTTTTACTTAAATAATTTACTAACCAAACTTTTGTACTGAAGATTGCAGTTCCATTCAGATCACAGCTCCATTAGCTTTTATAGTTGCTTTCAGATGACAATATAGGTGTTCGTGGTTAAGTCAAGGATTCCACATATTTAAGCGGTACACGTCACTGTAATCTTTTGGAAAGTTTACTACATGAACGTTGCCGAATTCCAATTACTTTTGAATGTTTCAGTTCCAAATTGCATTCACACAAATTCAGAGAAATTCTGATTATTCGCGTTAAACAAAGTTTTTCGTGTGCCATTACGGAAAATGATAATTTTCACAATTGTAACTTGAAATGTTTTTACGCAAATTTTTAACGTTCAATTTCGGAAAAGTTTTACTTCAGCTCTAAACTAGATTTTCGATAAAGTTTCCAAATTTACATTAAAATGTGGCAATTTTGCAGAACAATTACAGTTGAGTAAGTGTTATAGTCATAAGCGAAGATAAAATCATAAATTGCTGTCCCATAAACAAAACAGCAATTAAAAAAGTCAGCCTTTTAAGTCAATTACTAGTTTCAATCCAAAATTTTAACTATTAAAATATATATTTATTAACTCCAGCAATATATTTAAATCATTTTCTTATATAAATTTGTTTGTAACTTTATTAATATATATCGCAGAGTTACTATTGAAAGATAAGTGCGTTTAAACTCTAATCTTCAGTTTCGCTCCTACTTAATTTTAACAGATTGAGTTTAAAAACATTAATTGAAGTGATAATCACTAACTGAAACCCACAAATGCACACTATGTATGGAAGACAAAGAAACATGTCTGCATATCCATGGAGAATGTTCAGCTCCTATACGTTGTAGGATAACAATATTGCACAATGAATTTATCTACAATTAAGAGTTGTTAAAGATTTATCTAGAAATATTTGAATTTTTCTGAATATGGCTAAAGTGAAAGAAACTCTTCAGTAACTATACATAGAAAGGATACAATAGTCCAAAAATGAACGCAGTGTGTATAATCAAGTATAATATGGGTACTTTTTAACTCTTGACGTTTTGAAAACGAATATCTGTTCGATTTTTAGCCAGTTATTGCTATTGCTAGTTTAATATCGACAAGATATCGAAAGTAATCTTATTAATCTTGAAAAGGAGCCAATACTGTGAAATGTTCCATAGAGGTAACTTCAATCATATCCTTATTGAAATCATTGGAATAAAAATCATTATATTGGTTCGATATTTAGAGTCAATCAATTTGAATTGAGATTTTGGCAAACTAAAAAAATATCAGTTTGTTTTATATACTGTCATTGTCACTAATTGAATATTAAAATTTCGCTCACCTTTAACTTGTTCTCCAGAACAAGAAAATTTAACTAGTAAGTTAGATATAAAATATTGTCACCATCTTCATATTGATATCTCAAGACTGAACAGATTTTATATATGCCTGACTATTCAAATGTCTAATATTGCTGCCACTTCTATTTTTAGCATCTGGTAAGAAATTCTCTAGGGAATATTTTAATAGTACACATTTCCCTTAAATATATTTACAGGAGCACTACTTGGAAGAATCTATACTCATACATTGGAAAATTAAACATACGCAATTGAGGGTTGCGTAAGGCTCCGATAAAACCATCCATATTTTTTTTATTATTATTCTTATTACAGTTTCATGACGATAAGTTACTTTCGTGTAGGATTTTTGAAACTTATAAGACATCACGGTAAGATATATAAGAAGGTTACTTACAACTATAGAATACTTGAGATATGTGTTGGGGTGAGTTGTAAATGAACTCATATGTAGAAATCATCTGTCGAAATTAAAAAGTGTTGAAATTGTTTAATTAATTAATTAGGCAAATATATTAATTTTGTAAATTCAAATTATTGACAAGCAGTGCCACAAGCGTGTGGCTTGATTTCTTAAAGTCTTCACTCTTGACGGTTACCAAATCCTTTGATAACAAATTTCAATCGATTGAAGTACTGTGCAAATATTTGAAGTCAATTTGTAAGCAAAATACTTTGGTTTTGTGGTACTTTCGCATAGTCAAATCAGATACTGTTTGCTTTATGCTCAGCTGCTGAGAAACAAACAAGAAATGCACACAAATCCACGTACGGTTCGCTGTCCATATCTCGATACATACGAGTAGGAGCTGTCTTAGGTACATACTTGTAGTGCAAAGAAACAATATACTTAACCTGGTAAATTTAACTAAAACTTAAAACTTAAATATCCTGTGGTTTACCACAATTGACTGCTATTTTGAGCATCTGCTTTATTATACATGTATACTTTATTCACATTTAAAACCGTTTCAGTATTTTTCACACTTCTTATCTATTGAATGTTATCTTCCAGTTATATTCACACATATTAGTTGTAATTAAAAAACTTCCAAGTTTTTTTATTTTTTCCATATCAAACGCAATTTTCGCATACTAGCCTTTACAGCCAAATATTTATACAATTAACCGTAATAGAGAAGTTCGGAACAATAGTGAGTTACAACAACAAAAATTATTTTTATATTATTTTTAATTAATAGAAGTTTTGGTTGACCATACAGCTCTTTTCTCTTTTCTTGTCAACTATTTATATTATTACGTGAATGATTAAGAAGTGGTAGAGGCTAATCAATCCAACTCTCAACTGAGTTTCAACCTCATACCAAGTAACTTTCATCTTCGCAAACTCCTCTGCGGTTTATTAGAGACTTCGGCATATCATGAATATTTGAGTTTTTATTTTAGTCTGAGTATGTGGAAGCTCTTACTATCTACAAAACACTCATTAAGTATTCACTTAATATCGTTGGTATCTTGTTTTTATTAAATGGTTATAAATTATTTTTTTTTAGTTAAACTACACGTATAGATTTTCTGTTGTGAAGATAATCTATTTAGGAAGAAGTTAATTTGGAATTTAAGAAAGAATTCAAGGAATTCTCTTGTGTATTACATTGGGTGCAAACAGATAAACAGCAGAACTTCGGCACATACACTGAATTATAATAAAAACCAATTTTAAATTGAATAATTTCTGGTAAAGACATTGGAACGTGCTCAGCTTCAGAAGTACTAAGCGGATTAATAACCAATTGAGAAGAAAGCAATGTCAAATATATGAATGTACGAGTATACTACATACCACCTATCAACTTTTTTGGTGTATAATTCGATATTAAGATATGGAAATATTTTATAATAGTAAAAAATTTGATTTACACGACATATTAAAATATTTTTCAAGGATGGCATGGAATAATTCTAAATTTTAAAAATCAAATTAATAATGAAGGCGATGTGTTTATACATACATGGAAGCGTATCAAGAAAATATAAATGCAGTCTGGAGTAGTTATATCAATAGTTATTTATAGTAGAAAATGACATTAACAATTCGAAGCTATGAGGCAACTTTGTAGGCTACACTGAATGTGTGTAACAGAGCATGGCAAATTAATGCAGTGTCAATGTGACGATTCAACAGGTTAAGTTCCTACACGTCAAACCATAGTTTAGGTCACAATAATCTTTTTATTGTATCTAATCTTTTTCTATGGGACTGACTTTTGATGATAAGCAACTGAAAAGGCAAGCTACACAAATATAATTTGCAAAACAAGAAGGACAGCTACCTTACAAATCTCTGGAGCTGTACGCTTCACCTCTACAAAAGTTCTCCTTGCTCTGCTTCATTGGCTGCCATCTCGGTTTCTTGTAAAACAGCAAATTAAAATAGTGGCATCTTAACTCAACGCTCTTTCCCGCTGGTCAAGAATTGATATAGGACATACGATCATACTAAACCAGGATCTGCCAGTCCCCGTCTTAATTGACTACATGTGTTTGTACCCAGAGAGCAAACGTTGTCTTACCTTAACTAGACTGGATCTTACTTTTTCGACCACCAAATCACGGTAATTTTTTACAGGCAGGAGTCTATTATGCTGTAAAATCCGTTCTTGGCCATCAAATTCCCGATGAAACTATTTCAATTTTATCCGATAGCCAAACTATAATTAAGTCACTGGTAGTCACATCAATCATAACTTAAAATGGCTATGTTTTCCTTAATGAACATTAATTTCTCAGATATTGGCGGTCTACTTGCAACAGCAAAACTGGCAATTAATTAAAAATATCTAAGGATAGTCAAGCAACACTGGGCTGACGAACCTTGCTTTTATTGGCGTTAGTCGTATGCTGACCTTCTAGGCTATGTATAAATCAACGCTATTCCTGTGGTACTATAACGGAACACTATTTGAGCTCTAGTCAGCTTTCTTGGTATAGATGGCCGCAACTCCAACCTATGCTAACCTGTGTTAATTCAACGATTTCGTCTACAAACAAATTTCTTTATCGTCTTAGAACTCAAGTCACTCTTAACACCTATAAGTTCGAAATTATGAAAATATGGGTTTATTTGGGAATCAGTATAAACTTCAGTAATAATGTATGGTAAGTCTAGAAAATCAATGAAGTACTACTAATAAACGTCACTACATACTAAATAAGCAATAAAGAAAGAAAGGTCTCTCTCTACAAGCAATAATCATACTCTACATTGCCTTCTACCATATTTGTCCTGCGTATAGTCCAGAAGCTTAGACAACTAATAGTGTTGTGAAAACATTTAAAGTTTTTTAAAACCAATCTGATACCATTTGGAGGCGGATTTAATGCAATCTTCTGAATAACACGCTATAAACCAAATAGTTTCTGATATATATATCTTAGTCGGTTTATTTTTATTCAACTCCACTAGTTTTTTGTTGTTTTTTAGCTACGTATATCTTGAGAATTTAGAGCTTTGCCTTAGGAGAGCCGGATAGTTACAATCGATGTTTAACTTTCAAAATGAAATTCCGAAACGGTAATATGAACGCTTGACGCTTGGGACCTAACTTTAGTATAAAGTTCATAGTGTGAACATTGTATAATAGTGAGCAAATGTTTGCATATACAATATATAGAATACAACTCTGTGTCAAATAAATTAGCAGCTAACTTGGCTTTGGATTTTCAAATTTGACAATTAACTTTTTTTAAAATTAGTTTTTAGTAATTTTCGAGAGATAGTTCACTTCATACATCTCAAAACCCAAATAATGTAAATTTTATTTTAAACAAAGATTGTCACATATAATAAAAAATAATAATATATCATCAATACATCATCAAAGTAAGTAAAGAATATTAAATTATAATCTAAGGATAGACGGGAGTCATTTAAATACTGTTGATGAATGCATTAATATAAATTTTGGAATCTTTTATTTACAGAAGGCTAATAAAAATTTATTAAATTTTAAATACTTTCTATTATTTATTTCTATTTTTTATTTTTTTTATTTCTAAATTATTTTCAGGATAGAAGTTTGGTTTCAATTTATTTGTGCAATCGTTCTCATAAATCTTAAGCGGTACTCTCATATCTGGCATTCTTGTCACATGTGCAGTCCATCTTAATCGCTACTTTTTTGTAAATTTGTTGATTGTATCACTTATGTGATAAATCCCGTTTTTTTTTCACGGGGCCAAAAATTTTCTGAGAACTTGCCTTTCAAATACTGCTATCTTGCTTCCTTTAGTTTAATTAGTCTCCACACAAAAATATTCAATATAATTTTGTTTACATGTGAATGACAGATAGTAGGTCATGACTTTTGAGTTTATAAGTAGGTTTTAAAATATCTAAATTTATTTTTATTTTCAGAAAATTTATTCTAATCAAACACATTAATAACAACTGCTTAGGTCTATATCAAATCGTTGGAGGCATTCACCGTTTGCAGGTAACAAACTTTTTATGCTGTATTAATAAATTTTGTACTAAATAAAATATTATTGAAAAATGTTTTATCATTATTAACTAAGTTTCACAAAATAATTATCTATATTTTTTGCTAAAACATTACGGATTCACATATGAAAGTAATTGGCAACGCTGTATGCTTGCTAGCTGATTATTTGTTGACAAATGTTGTATATCTTTTCTGCCATGACTTCATATTTTCACATGTCGCATGTCACAAGCAGAAATCGCATTGCCAACGACATTTTCAATTATTTAGTTTCACTTTTATTCAGTACTTATATTCCAGAATATAAAAGAACGTGTACCATACCAATTGCTAGTTACCCACATTGTTTCAGTTTCTAGTATGCATTAAGCAGCTCATCCTTTACTGAAACGCATTTGTGAATCGTATCTAAAGTATCTTTGAAACAATTCTAGAATTACATTTTCATTAAAAAATGGAGCTTTTGATCCTGTTATCATTTAAAATCTATAGCTTTTATTTCTACATTAACTATAAGTTATATATTATTAGACTCGGATCGAATGGGCTATTCTGAATTCTCATTACCATATGCACATTACATTGTGAATTGTTCTACCTCAAATGGATGTACTACTGTTCAAATTTTTAAAAACGTTCCCTAAAGAATAGCTAGGTCAATTGACAAAAATCCAGACGTGGATTATTAAAATTCTTGCTGAAATAAAACTGTTACATTTTCTAAATTCGACCAAATACATTAAATATTTGAAAAAAAAAATTTCTAAATATATTTTTTGTGGTTTACTACCAAATTTATCTACAAATATGCTTTCAGTAATGGACATGGAACCTGTTGTTAAATCAGACTTGTTGTCAAAATCAGCTGAACTAGAAGTTAGAAAGCGTGCATCTTCTTCAAAACACACAAAGTAAGTAAGATGGATATATTTTAAGATATATTTAACAAAAAGTTTCGGTAAATCCTCGATTACACAACAAAGTGAAAAATTAATATATCAATTTCAATATGATATGATATAGAAAAGTATTCGCGGTTTTTTGTCACTAGATGGCATTGGTATCCATATACATATGTAGCTACACGAATCGAGCATTCAAGCTGTAAGGAGATAGCTTTTGAAATCATTTATAAATAGCAGGCTATGATATGGCGCTCGATATTTGGGCATCATATTAACTAATGGAAAGAAATTTAATTGACCGAAATAATATAATATCAACAAAACGTTGCTGAAACCATTTCTGATGCAAATCATTAAGGGCAATAAAAAATAGATTAAATGCGTGAATACTCAACACAAGCGATCGTTGTCAAAGGCCGGCGATCCTCCACAAACGACTTCAAATCTGGATTGAATATATTGGAAAAGAATTGTTTGTTATGGATTGGTCCAATCTTCATGCTAAAAATAAAATTGTGTTCCAACATCACAATGACAGGCCATAAACATTGGCCTGTCATTGATACAAGTTGACTGAACTTGATTGGTTTTAACACATTCACCGTATAGTCCGATATCTATACCATTTAACTACCACTTGCTTTGATCTCTGTAATACTCTGTTAATGGCAAAGTATAACACACCGTATAGTCCGATATCTATACCATTTAACTACCATGTGCTTTGATCTCTGTAATACTCTTTTAATGGAAAAGTATAGGACACCGTATAGTCCGATATCTATACCATTTAACTACCATTTGCTTTGATCTCTGTAATACTCTGTTAATGGTAAAAAATGGTAATGGTAATTTTTTGCCGATAGCCACAGAAGTTCTACATCGTTGGAATTATGAAGCTACCAGAAAAATGACAAGAGAATGGTCAATATATACTTGATTAAAAATGTTTTTCAGTAAGTGAAATTTTTGCTAAAAATGTGTCAAATAACAGCGGATACTTTTTATATCAACTATTCTAATAATATTAATTGTTTAACCAATCAAATAATGAAATTTTTACAAACATTAGATGATCGCCTTGCATCTTAAATTGAGTTAAATACTTTTTGCCCAAGCCAAAATTTTAAATTTGTCTAATCTTGTCTATATTTATCTATTGATTTTTTTCAGGATGGAAATGGAATATGCATCTAAATCAGAATATTCCGCAAGGTTATCTGAGGCAGACGTTAAGAAGCGTTCTCATTCCACCAAACACACCAAGTAAGTTAAGTCGTATGAGTTTTTTGTTAATTAATTTATGGAGAAATCTTTAAATTTTTCTTTTGGTTGAAAAATGACTTACAAATGATACGATAATAGAGATACGTTTCTGTTTTCTATAGAATCCTACATTTAGTTTGTATAAATATATATATTTGCTCAAAACGAAATAAGTCATAGCTTACCTCATAAACAAAATCTGATGTTTATATATATTATTTCAGCCTTAGAAAGTGAAGAGAAAAAAATGTATATCCGAAAATTAGAAAAATTCTATCTTGATTTGAATTAGAGGACTTCGATGAAGAAAACTAAAGTATTTTTCGAAGATCACATTTTAGCGTATAAATTTATTTATATGATATAGAATTTTGGGGCTATCATTAATAGTAAAACTGTTTTAAGAAGGCAATTGAAGACTTTTGCTGACTTTGAATATCAACTAATATAATTGCTATTTTGTACTTATTTAAATAATTCTCTTCTAATAGTAATGCATCTAGTACTGCCGTCTTGGAGCCACCAAGTCATGGTAATATTTTATATTTCCTTATTAACTTCTTTTAGAACCATTGAGTTTTCTTATTAATTTTTTTCAATATTAACAGATTCTGTTAAAGTTAATCGTAAATATTCGTCTGAATATCCACGTTCGCCATCGCGCTCCCACACTAAACGACGACGTATATATGTTGGTGACCGCATGGAGTATAGTTTATCGTATCGGCCATCGCACTCATCTGTACGTGCACAAGTAAGTAATACCTATAATGAAATTAACCAAAACAGAACTCTATAGTATTTAATTTATTTATTTCTAGCCACATGATCCAGTTCCCAATAAAGTTTTGGGTATTTTTGGGTTAGGTTCTGAATCATGTGAATCGAGTATACGACGCGCATTTGAAAAATTTGGTGAGGTGCTGGACGTGCATTTGGTGGAGGATACTCGTACAGGTATTTTGCGCGGCTTTGGTTTTATTTATTTTAAACGCACATGTGATGCCAAGTACGCTGTGGAAAATGGTTCTAACATCCGTATTAATGGGCGAAAAGTACGCGTGGACTACAGTTTGACTAACCGGCCACATAAATCAACTCCTGGCATTTACATGGGTCGTAAGCAGCGGTAAGTGAATATTTGTTTTTTTTCTATTGCACACTATTAAGCTCTGTTTTTATTTTTTTATTTTTTAGTTTAACTAAAAGTAGACATTATCATGAAAATGAGTACTCCTTTAAACGTCGCTATAGTTATGATGAGCGCAGTGAACGCGACCGTAAGACAAGACTAATGTTATAAAAATATATAAATAATCACATAATTAAAAACATTAATTATTTAATCAATTATTAAGTTTATAATACAATACTTAATATTTTTTTTTTTTGTTTTGCAGACAGACGTAGGTATTGACATGCTATTATCAACAGCCAATATACTTACTCGATAAAATTTGAAAAACATTTATTAAAAAACATTTTTAATTTTTTTAATTAAATATTTTGAACAGTTTATGAAACTGAAAAATGAAATAATAATTTACAATGTAACAGCATTTGTTAATTATTATTAAAATTAAGACAAAATAAAAATTAAAATAAATAATTTTACTGCTTCATATTTTTGGTGAAATCAAATCATTCACAATTCAATGCAGTAGTTCAGGGATAAGGTCTTCCTGGTTAAGAGTGTTTCTTATCTTACATCTGCTTAAAATTAATTCACAAACAAACATTTTAAACCAATATCCCTTCGTTAATTGTGTTATTTGCTAAATATGACAAAATATCTGCATTTTTATTTATCCCTGAAATACTGTATTTACTATATATGGGTGCTACACCCACCGCCATTCAAACTTAGGCTCACACCAATGAATTTTTGTTTATAATAAAAACTATAAGCGTTATCTATATCTCTAGAGATTATCTCTAAGCTTTATAATGGACTTACGTAAACATAGCAGGTACATGTATGTACAACCAAGATTTTCTGTTTTATAAGGTTATTATATGGTATCAAGTATTCTTTAATAAAAGATGAGTCTGCATTATCAGTTCAGAAGTAAGGTTTTAACTATCTCAACAATTTATTTAATGTTTCTGCAAATTATCTTTGTGTGAAAGAAAATGACATTTCTGGTACTAACGAGAATTCTTATCACAGCCGATGATCAAATATGATTGGATAGAAGATATGTTATTAACTTTCATTAGAAAGACTATATGGGTCATTCTTTTACAAACCGGACACCTTTTTGACCTCATCACCTCCGATTTGGCTGAAATTTTTTTTATGAGCTCCTTTCATAATATAAGAAGACCCGTATCTCGGGAAAAAATTTTGTAATTTTTTTCCTAGGAGATATGGACCCATGGGGTTTTGAGAATTGGCATTGTAGAGACATTTTCAAATGGCTATATCTCAAGTTCTATAAAAGGTAGAAACTTGAAATTTATTGCGTTTTAAAGATAATTGGTTGAGCTTTTAAGAAATTGTTTAAACAATTAAGATTGTTTATATTTAAGTACTAATATTAACCGTTAAATTTCAAAAAAAAATATATCTCAAAAGGTTACACAACATTTTTCATTTTTTATATTTTATTTAGATTCAGTTTTAAATTTTACTAAGAAATAAAAATTTTCATGATAGCATCGATTTTTATAAATTTTTTAAATTTTTTTTTTCTCATAAAACACATCAAACACATGCGTGCTATATTTACATTGAATGAATTTTCAAAAAATATACTACAAATATTCTTATATAATATTTTTGATTTCAATTAGTAATAAAATTGTACATAAAACTCAAAAATTTCAGGACGATATTGTCGTTGGAACTACTTTTAAAAAATTTATTTATCCTTCACATCACTCCAAACACATACACACGATTTTTCAGTCGTGTTTTTCAAAAAAAACAGAGGAATACGTCACACAAATTTTTCATTTTT